AAAACTTCTTCGTTTTTTTTTTTTTTAATTTATTTCACTTCCAAATTACCAATTACATTTCTTTCTCATTCAATAATGACCGTCGCGTTCACCCTGAAGCAATTCAACTTCGCTGCATCCTCCTCCGTTCCAATAGCCAACGCGTACTGCAAACCCAAAGTGATCTGCAACAAAATTTTGCAATTCTCTTAACGAAATTTATAATTTTACTTACAGGAATTGGTGGAACATCCATTTCGAAATGAAACCTAGCCCTTTCGCCCTCCTCCAAAGGACACCTGTAGCCCACCAAAGAGTCGCACCCGTTCATTTCTATACTGAAAGGGATCCATTCGACATAATCAAACGAGACGGAAACAGCAGGAGCAAAAAATTCCAAGTCGTTGGCTGAAAGAATTGCAGATTGTTACAACCGTTTTGCTTACTTTCTTTTAGTAAAAAATCACGTACGAACGTCGAAGATGATGTCCAAATCCACGGGCACAGCAGTACTGAAACGGCACGGCTGCACATCGCAACCTTTGACAATAACGGCGTAAGGTTGTCCAATCTCGCCATCACCTGAAAAATAACCAGATTCATGTAAAAATTGCTTCATTTTAATGTTAAAAAATAACTATTTGTTAACTTACAATCAGATACGATTGTTCCCAAACTCGAAGAAACCAGGACAGTTAAAATAACCGAAAACAATTTAGTTGCGACCATCGTTGCGTACAATCTCTCAACGTTTGTGTATTTATACGTCTACGATAAGCAGGTGTTTCCTTATCTTGGCGTTATCAAATTGATTTCGAATCTGTTACAAACCAAAATTATTTCCAATATTTTTCTTTCGCAATTTACGTTGGTATCACGATATTATTATAGACGTTGGCTGTGCTTTACTTTGGGAAGATTTTGTTTGTTGCCCCTAGTTACCATAAACAAGATGTGTTTCTGTCAGTTGTGTGCGCAAAGTGCATAATATTTCTTTATCGCAAACGTTAATATACAAGTGTTTTAATTATTTGAATTGTGGCTCTTCTCTAACGCAAGTGAAGAGCAAAATTCCATGATCCTGATCGTATGGGAAAGTGCATCTTGTTAGGTAATTATATTTTATAACAGTTGGTAATAGTATTCAATTTTGATCGTTGGTACGGATTGTTTAGGGAAATGTCATTTTTTTTTTCTGAATAGACAAATGATTAACGTAATATTACGTACAGTAATTATTTGTTTCATTTATCGCTGATTGTATAGAATTTATTTTACTTTTGTGGTGAAATTTGAATCCTTTACCTTCGTATCTGATTGTGTAACTGATTAGGTAATTATATTTTATAACAGTTGGTGACAGCATTCAATTTTGATCGTTGGTACGGATTGTTTAGGGAAATGTCATTTTTTTTTAATAATTGACGTAATATTAATTGAGTGTACGTCCAGTGATTACTTGTTTCATTTATCGCTAATTGTATAGAATTTATTTTATTGTTATGGTGAAATTTGAACCCATTACCTTCGTATCTGATTGTGTAACTGATTAGGTAATTATATTTTATAACAGTTGGTGACAGCATTCAATTTTAATCGTTGGTACGGATTGTTTAGGGAAATGTCATTTTTTTTTCTGAATAGACAAATGATTAACGTAATATAACGTACAGTAATTATTTGTTTCATTTATCGCTGATTGTATAGAATTTATTTTACTTTTATGGTGAATTTATTTTATTTTTATGCTGAAATTTGAATCCTTTACCTTCGTATCTGATTGTGTAACTGATTAGGTAATTATATTTTATAACAGTTGGTAACAGCATTCAATTTTAATCGTTAGTACGGATTGTTTAGGGAAATGTCATTTTTTTACTCAATAGACAAATGATTAACGTAATATTACGTTCAGTAATTATTTGCTTCATTTATCGCTGATTGCATAGAATTTATTTTACTTTTATGTAATTTAAACCCTTTACCTTGTGTAACTGATTAGGTAATTATATTTTATAACAGTTGGTGACAGCATTCAATTTTGATCGTTGGTACGGATTGTTTAGGGAAATGTCATTTTTTTTTAATAATTGACGTAATATTAATTGAGTGTACGTCCAGTAATTACTTGTTTCATTTATCGCTAATTGTACAGAATTTATTTTACTTTTATGGTGAAATTTGAACCGTTTACCTTCGTATCTGATTGTGTAACTGATTAGGTAATTATATTTTATAACAGTTGGTAATTAGTTTAGGTTTGTCATTGTTTTCACTGTCGCAAACTGTGAGATTTAATTTGATTATTTAACTATTTGTATTTATGATAATTGCGGACATTGAATGCAAAAAATACTTGTCCGAGTTGCCAAATAGGTGTATTTGACTTATGTGAGATGCTTTTTCTTTTTTTAGTGGGATTTCGTTGTTGAGTATAAATTAAAGTTGGAGGATGAGGAAGGTGAGGATGAGGATGAGTGGAAGGTCTCTCGGGTCCGTTTAGCTAATCGTTAAATCGGGATGGGGCGGCGGGGTGAGGGGGGGGCTTATATAATGGAGGCGAGTGGAAATCTGTTTTCTGGCCACAAATCATAGGCGAAGTGTGAAATCGGCCAGCAGGATGCAATTGTTCGCGACAAATGACGTAGAGGCGCGAGACTCCCGACCGCGACGTGCAGACCATAAATCGCGTTCGCCCCATGAACCGGGTAATTACCGGCCCTGATCTATGGTCCAGGCCACGGCCACGATCGTATATACCATCACCCACCCCCATGCCGCCACCATCACCTCCTCCTCCTCCGCAACATCTTCGTGGTCTTTTCCTCTTCTTTTTCTTCTTCTCCTCTTCAGAATCCATCCAGAATCCCCTCCGTCGCTTCTTCGATCGCAGCACACGGAAAGACCGAGACATAAACCCATAATGCCCATATCTCCATACATGCATACACGTATAGCATCCCATCTTCTTCTGGTCTGGTCCGGTCTGGCCTGGTCTGCGTGGGATTGCAATGCAATGCCCTGCCATCGCAGGTGCCTCACTATTACATGCTATATTCTTTATCACCACTTATTACTCTTCGTTTACCTTACTCATTCCACAATGGTACATCCATTCATGCAGACCCTCTCTCCTCCTCAGCCTCTCATCCACCTTCTACAACTTACAACTAACCCTAATCACTTCAACATCTCCCGGATGGACGCAAACACGATTCGCAATTTCACCAATCGAGTTACCATCATTTTCAATGCTACTTATCAAATGATTCACTCATAGTGTTTATACCCAATATTTTGATCAATTCACTACAATTATCAAATTAACGAATTATTTTAAAGTTTTTGATGAGTTATGTTTTAAATTGAGATTATTACATTAACTTTTTGATTTATTTATTTTGTAGGTCCACGGAAGATGCTGCAGCAGAAAGTTCGTCGAGTGGTGAAACAAACAGTGTGGTTTGTTTAAGGAAATCTTGAGGTAAGGCGAAATTAGCATAAAGTTAAGAAAGTGATGCGAATGGAAAAAAAGTTGTAAAGAATACGGAAATCCGAGGAGAGTCGTCGTTCGCGCGAGTCGATTGCGAACGCCTCCAGGATAAAATATTCATAAAAGTTTTCAGCGAGACTCGAAAGAAAGAGAAAGATGGAGATGGGGGGATAGTGAGAGTCGAGCAAGAGGATCGAAATTTACGATCGAACGTAAATAATTATCGAACACACCGCACTGTATAAATATCGGCTTTTTGTTGGTGGTGCATCCACACACATAATTTAATAATAAGGAGAGGATGTGCGTTCTTTATGTCCGTGACCACCCACCTGCAAGAAGGAGATCTCGCAGTGGTGGTGGTAGGAGAAGGGGTGGAAAAGGGAGAAGGGAGTGGAGACCTGAAACTAATACACTTGCAGTAATTTATATTTATGCGAATCACACACATACACTTTGCAAATCCCCAGACACATTGTGCTTTTGTGTCGTATAGAGATGGCCTTGCCACTAACAGACAGACGAAACTGGTAACGAAACTATAAACTTTATTACCGTATATATTTTGTTACATCTATTTCATACTGTTCTCAATTTTTCAATTTAATTTTTTTTTATTTAGATATATGTGATATAAAAAAAATGTAGACTGTTATGGGCTTTAGCCTCTTTCAGCTTTCTGTGATTAGGGTTTACAAAACAAAACAAAAAAAAAACATCAACAATAATAAGAAAATGAACAGAGATTGAGAACACAAATAGATATTAGTAACAGAGTAACAGGACACAAACATATATGCACTTATGAAATAAAACTAGAAAGACACAAAGATTTTTAAAAAAAAAACGTAATCCAAATAAAGAAAGACATACAGGAGACGCCCACAAAAATATATTTTTCATCTTCTCAACCCTTTTCCATTTGCAACTGGTAAATTTCGCGCTCGTTTACTATACAACATATACAACCATATCACCAGGTGCATAATCATTTCTTAATTTCCTCACCTTTTTCTTTATTTCTTTCTTTCTTTCCTCGATCGACGCATCGCGCCAAACCATTGTTGCTCGCCGCACGCACGACACACATATTCCTTCCTTCTTCTTTTTCTCCATTTCAAATTTATACGTACAATTGTAGTATATTGAATAATGTTATCGCAATTTTATCATCATAGAGGACGCGACTTTCCAATTACGGCCATCGGACATCTTATTTCGAATTTATTAATAGCTTTTGTATCGCACGACGTTGCGCAACTTCTTCTTCTTCTTCTTGCCTCTTGGTTGCTCTTTCCTATCTATTATCGATACGCTTAAAACAATTATTACGTTCACTTTTCCAGTACCTATAATATGATACGTTACGCAATTGCCACACACACATTGATTGCATTTTATTATTTAGTTTTTTTATTGTTCATTTCCTTCGATCGTTGTTCGTATTCAATGCGAACGCTTATGCAACGAATTAGGCGACCTCAGAGGATTCCTGCTGCCATTAGTATTATTCAATCAACAGTCGACGAAAATTAAAATTGGAATTAATATAATTTCAATGAAATCAACTATAAATATGAAAAAAAAAACAGTTTTTTTTTCTCTCCTTTCAATTGATTAATTAAGAGTATCATAAAAAATGTTATCCAAATATATTTTTTTTTCATGTTAATCTAGCTGTGAATTATGAGTATGGAAGTCTATAATTAAAAAGTGTTTATAATTTTCGATGTAAGCTTTGCGTTCGAATCGTTTAGTCAATCATCTGGCGCCAACAAAAAAAAAACTGTTTTTGTTTCTTTTCAATTTCTCGAAACGCAACGGAACTTGATCATTAAAAAAAAAAAACGAAATTGGTTTGCATCGAATTTGCTTTAATCATAATAAAGTAATCAAATGAATCGAAGCAAACGGTAACGGTCAATGGTATTGTTGGTGATTTTTTTGTATTATTTATATTGTAGTTGTTGGTTCGTGATGCGTTCAATTTCCATAAGGTACAATGAATGTGTGTGTGTGTATGCCACGTCGATTGGTTGAGATGAGAGAAGAGCACATACACACACACATGGCGAGAGAGGAGATCTCTTGGTTCGTGACTGCGCACAGCCTCGCCATATGGCAAGGAACAGATAATTATTTTTTTTATTAATTAATGTTACCATAAATTGCCGACGATAGGCGAAACGCTTTATATATTTAATTATACAGACTGTGATAATGCGGCGCAAAAGGACGCATCG